GTCTACTCTTAGAAAAAGATATTTAAAAAAAAAACAAAACATAAAGAACAAAGAGCTTCCCTCATTACTGCTGAATTTTTTTGAAGATGTGCAGTAGCCTGGCTGACTCTGGCACATCTGACACGGAAGACTATTTTGGATAAAATCAAATATTTGGCGATTAGATTCTGAGGATCAAGGATGAGAAACAAGAGGATCAAATGGTATTTTATATCCTAAGCTTTCTAAGGTCTACTCTTCATTTTAGGTCCACTGAAACTTAATCAGTATTGAAAGTTAGGTTTCTAAAGCAGATTTTATCAATGCCTTTTTGAAGGTGTCAGTTACAACCTTAATCACTATTAGATTTATGGGAAAATGATGTATTTTACAAGAAGCAACACAAATATAAGTGTAAAAGTTCATAAAGAGACATTATGCAAATTTATGTTTTATGAATAGTTGTAAGAACTGTGACTGAAAGAAAATTTCAAACTCAGAGGGAAAAATTCCTTCATATTATAGATGAGAGAAATGTATAAGGAAAGAATGAAATAACTTACCAAGATCACATGATTTTTAACTTTTGTATCACCTTTATTGAAGTATAATTTAGATAAACAAAAATGCACAATGTTACATATACGTGTTGATGAATGTATAAACACATAAACTGAACATAAATCTTTCTAACAACTACCACAGTCAAGATATAAAATGACTCTATCACCCTGGTAATATGTAGCCCTAGTTAACCAATCCATCCCCTACCTAAAGACTTGGGCTACGTTTACTTGTGAATATAATATAGTGTGCTGTACAGTAAAATATAGAATATTAGGGGAGCATGGAGGTAGAGAATGAGTAAGTAACGGGGAGGCATTAATCTGATTAAAGCATGATATATACAGACCTGAAGTACTAAGGCAAAACCTCCTTGGACTATCGATATGCACTTAATCAAAAATAAAGAAGGAAAGGAGGTGAAAATTAATCTTTTCTGGAGTTGGATACCAGTAGGAGGGGGTGGGCACAAAGAAAAGGTGCATATGGCGGATGTATTTTGTATCCATATATGAAAACAGAAGAATGAAACCTGTTGAAATTGTTCTAAGAAGGCTGGAGAGGGAAGAGAGAGAACAATGGAAGGGGTAAATCCAACTAAAATATATTTTAAGCACATATGCAAATACCACACTGTGTCTCCTGTATAGCTATTATATGTTAATAAAATCATTTTTAAAAAGTAAAAGATTTAAAAAGACTTGGGCTGATCAGCTCTCACTACACATTAATTTAGATTTTTCTAGAATGTCAAATAAAAACTATCATATGGTATATATTCCTTTTTTCTGTCTACTTCTACTTAGAATAACATTTTTGAGTCTACTCTTTGTTCCTTTTCCTAAATGATAATTATTCTACTGTATGGGACTATCATGATGTGTTAATAGTGTTGATAGACGCTGCCATGAGCATTTATATAGAAATCTCTGAAGATATACATTTTTATTTCCCTGAGTATAAATGCTGAACTGCATGGCAAATGTATGTATAATTTTTAAAGAAACTGATAAAAACTTGTCTAAAGTGGTCATACCATTTTACATTATATACAAAAGTGCCAGTTGTCACACATCTTTGCCAACACTTAGAATGTTCAGTAGTTTCTACTTTAAAAATTTTAATAGGTAGTGGTATTTCATTTTGGTTTTAATTTGATTATCACTGATAACTAATGGTGTTTAGCATCTTTGCATATGCCTACTTCCACTTTTATATATTCTTTGGTGAACATAAATTCTTTACTCTTGATGTGTATAAATGTGAGTGTTCTAATCTGATTTATATCCAAGTTTTCAAATCAAATTATATGTTTTATGAAATTTTCACCATTCCTGCTCTCCTCTCTTTTATTTTTTGAAAGAGTCTATTTAAGATTGATACTTTTTCCTTAAATGTTTGATTAAATTCATCTAAACCTGGAATTTTCCTTCGGGGAAGGATTTTTTAAATATATTATTTCATATATCTTATTTTAAACAGCTTTATTGAGATACATGTTGCTTATGAAATCCATCCATTTCAAGTGTACAATTTAATAATTTTTACTAACTTTACCAAGTTGTGCAACCATCATCATAAATCAGTTTTAGAACACTGCCATACCTTTAATAAGATCTCTCATGGCCTTTTACATTTAATTCTCATTTCTACCACCTGCCAGAGGCAATAGTGTGAGGTATTATAATCATAAAGTAAATTTAAGACACATAAACCTTTTCAGATTTTCTGTTTCTTTTTCAGTCAGTTTTGGTAAACTGAGGCTTTCAAAGAATTTGTCCATTTCCTTTCATTGTCCATCATTTGGACATAGAATTGTTCACAGCATTTCCTTTCTTTTTAATGAGTCTAGTATCTGGAGTGATGTTCTTTGGTCATTGCTGTCTTTTCTGGGTTCCCTTCATCTTTCCAGCTAAATAGCAAGTTTTACTAAACTTTTCAAGGAGTACCTTTAGGTATTACTGATTTTTCTCTGTTTTTTGCTCTTTGAGCTATACTGCTACTCTTTTCTTTTCTTTCTACTTGCAGATTAATTTATTTCATTTTACTGGGTTTTAATACACAGTTTAGAACACTGAATTTAATTCTTTTCTCATGTAAGAATTTAAGCTATCATTCTCACCCTAAGACCCATTAGCTACACTCCACAAATTTAGAAAGGCTGATTTTGTTATCAGTCTTTTAAAAATATTTAATTCTTTCTATGCATTTCTTTTGTTTGAGTTGTGGATCATTTGGGATTGTGTTGTTTAATTTTCAAATAATTTTAAAATGTATTAAGACTTGTTTTAGGGAGCAGTGTGATGTTTGTTGTGATTAACATTACATGTTTATTCAAGTTCATTAATTCTTTTGCGATATGCACCTGCTGTTATACATGGGCATAGAATTTGAGGTATTTTGTGATCCATATTGTGTTTTTCAACTCTTGACATTTTATTTGGTTCTTTAAAAAATATTTTCCATTTCTCTCATTATGCCTTTTTCAAATTCTTCAACATTTTTATATTGTCTGTTTGTATTTGTTTTCTATTGCTGTGTCACAAGGTACCAAAGTTGAGTGGACTTCAAGCAACAGTCGTTTATCTTCCAGTTCTGTAGGTCAGAAATACAGGCAGGTTCTGCTGGGGTTTCTCCCTCGGTTTTCACAGGCTGAAATTTAGGTGTGAGCTAGGCTGAACTTTTTACCCTGGGGAAGAACCTACTTCCAGGCTTCTCCAGTTTATTTGCAGAAGTCAGCCCCTTGCAAAGGTGGAGGTGATGTACCTGTCATTCTGCTGCCTATCTCCCAGGAGGCCAGCTGGCACATAGGGTCATTCTCAGGTCCTTCAATATGGCCCACTAATTCTCAGCAAAAGAGAATGTCTTTTGTGTCAAATTCCTCTCACACCTGGAATCTCTGTCTTCTTTTGCAACCAGTCAAAGAAAAGTCTGTGTATTTGAAGGACTCATGTGGTTAGGATAGGGTAACTGGATAATCTCTATGTGTAGATCAACTGGTTAATTAGCTTAAATTGCATCTGGGCAAATCCTTTTGCCATACCCTCTGGGCTCTCTTCTAAATTCTCTGAATACTCAACAAGGTCTCTCCTTTCTGGAGGGTCAGATCGCACATGTCTCCGAGTTCTGTGTGACCTCTGTTGTCATTTAACATTAGGTTTTTTTTTTTTTATGGTATTCCAGATCCTCTTGCTATGTTTGACATAGTAATGCCCAGCTAAATGTCAGAGGAACCTCATACTGATTTCTGGCCCTCTTGTGTGTATATGTGTGCTCTTACGTGTTCTCTCTTGATCTCTACTCTGCATATGATAGCTTCCTTACCCTCCTTGAACTCCGATCTCTGTCTCCTCAAATTAGTTCATCTAGCAGGCTCAGCTTGAGTCTGCAAAGTGGTACCAGAAAGAAAGTCATGAGTTTCACAGGGTTCCCCTCCTTTGTTCCACTTCTTTGGAGATCATAACACTGAGCTACCGATTAGCACATGTCTTCAAGTTCTTTCCTATATTCTCAACAACTTTCTAAAGAATGGCTACAAGTGAAAGGAAAAGTCTGGGTCCTCAATTGCTATGACTGGCCACAAGAATTTACCTGAGACTGTCTCCCCCAAAGAAATGAAACTAGATTACAATTCGTATGGTTTACAGATATTTTGTCTTTGGAGTGAGACCATGAAGGTAAAATGTAAGGTACTTAAAGGATCAAAATCAATGTAGGATGAAGAACTTGTACTGGCAGCAACTTTGCTTATATAACTTCACTGCAGATAGGAAAGTAAAAATTTAGCTAAAAACACAAGGAATCAAAGCTTGCAGAGAATAAGAATATGAATTAAATTAAGGGATATTATTTGAATCTTAAATGATGTATGGATGTGAAATAACATGGTAGATATTCTCTTGCAGTATATTAAGACATTTTTAGCTAAGGACCAATGGCTCACACCTGTAATTCTAGCTACTTAGAGGCTGAGAATGGGAGGACTACAGTGGCTACATGCCTATGGTCCCCAGTGACAATGGGAAGCTTAAATATAGAAGGATTGAGGTCTAGCCTGGCTTGGTCAAAAAGTGAGACCCTATCCCCAAAATAACCAGAGCAAAAAGGATTGGAGGTGTGGTTCAAGAGGTATGGTGCCTGCTTTGCAACCCCAAAGCCCTGAGTTCAATCACCAGTATCATAAGAAATTCCTTAGAGGAAAAATGCCCAATATTTTGAACACTTAAAAAATAGATCCCTAATATGTCAGCTGACTATGCTGAAGCACACAAAACTCATCTGGACAGCCAACCTTAGGAATTGTGAAAAGATAGCAACTATAAAATCTCAGGTACTCTGTTAATATTTACTGAATTTAATCATAACCAGGAGTGGAAATATGACCTTGGCTCACTTCAGATAAAATGTTGAATTTGATTCAGGCAAGTGTTGAACTTGTCAGTTTCAGGGCTTTAGGGATGGTTGGGAGCATATTTCATAAGTTGCAACAGGATGTGGCACGGGAAGAGGGTCCAACAGGGACAAAGCAACTTGTTCAGGGCTGTAAGGTACAGGAGAATAAAAATCAAGAAACTAGAAAGACTGACAGTGAACAGACATACTTCACCTTAAAAAACTGATTGTGTGAGTGTGTGTGAGTTGTGTGTGTGTGTGAGTGTGTGTGTGAGTGTGTGTGTGAGTGTGTGTGAGTTGTGTGAGTGTGAGTGTGTGTGTGTGTGTGAGTGTGTGAGTTGTGTGTGTGAGTTGTGTGTGTGGTGTGAGTTGTGTGAGTGTGAGTGTGTGTGTGTGTGTGAGTGTGTGAGTTGTGTGTGTGGTGTGAGTTGTGTGAGTGTGAGTGTGTGTGAGTTGTGTGTGTGTTGTGTGTGTGAGTTGTGTGAGTGTGTGAGTTGTGTGAGCGTGTGAGTGTGTGTGAGTGTGTGTTTGTGTGAGTGTGTGTGTGAGTGTGAGTTGTGTGAGTGTGTGAGCGTGTGAGGGTGTGTGAATGTGTGTGTGAGTTGTGTGAGTGTGTGTGTGTGAGTTGTGTGGTGTGTAGTTGTGTGATGGAGTGTGTTGTGTGTGTGTGGAGTTGTGTGTGTGTGAGTGTGAGTGTGTGAGTGTGAGTGTGTGTGAGTTGTGTGAGTGAGTGTGTGTGTGTGTTGTGTGTGTGAGTGTGTGAGTGTGTGAGTTGTGTGAGTGTGTGAGTTGTGTGAGCGTGTGAGTGTGTTGTGAGTGTGTGTGTGAGTGTGTGGTGTGAGTTGTGTGAGTGAGTGTGTGTGAGTGTGTGAGTGTGTGGTGTGTGTGAGTGTGAGTTGTGTGAGTGTGTGTGAGTGTGTGAGTGTGTGTGAGTTGTGTGAGTGAGTGTGTGTGAGTGTGGTACTGAAGCTTGAAGTCAGGACATTGTACTTCCTATGCAAGCACTCTCCTACTTGAGCCACATCTTCAACCCCTTTCACTTTACTTTTCAGGTAGTCCAATGCTTTTACCCAGGATGGCCTTGCATCAAGATCTACCTGCATTGATGGGATTACAGGTGTGAACCAGCATGCCCATTCCCATACTTTACCTCTTCTGTGTGGCCATGGGAAGAAAACAAAGCAGCAACTGGATAACTGAGTACCCGTAATTCAGTGGACATACATGTCTCAGGAGGAAAAACTCTGGAAATTCATGCCAATATGAACCACCATCTACCATTACATAGAAAAGCAAAAGAGTGTAGCAATTAAAGGCATGGATACAGATAGATATAGGTGTGAGCTGTGCCTCTATACCCACAAGCTAGAAAGCATAATGCTTGAAACACTGACTTTGGAGATGGGCTCCTGGGTTCAGATCTGAGCTCAGGTGATTCCTAGCTCTATGACCTTGGCAATTTTTTTAAAACAACTTTTTGGCTCAATTTATTTATCTGAAGATTGGGGGCGTGAAGATAAATATCTATCTCACATATACTTGGGGACTAAATAAATCTTTAACTTACCATAAGGGTTAAACAAATCAACAAGTATAAATTAGAAGGAGTGGTACCTGTTAGTAAGTGCCAGGTGTTGGTTATCATAATCATAATCATTTCTTGTGCAAACTTAGGATAATAAAACTAGTAGCACAGATAGATTCAATGCAGAGATCAAATGAGGCACTGCATAAAATCTGCCCTTTTCAGTACCCAGTACATGGTAGATGTTCAATAACCAGAATAAACATTGGTCATGGTTGCTTCAATAAATACAGGAGGGTCTAGCTGCAGGTTCAGATCCCCCCATTAAGTTCTCCAGGTGGCAAGGGTCCTCCCTCCTCTTTATCTCTGTCTCCCTCTCTCTGTCTCTCTCTCTCTCTTTGTGTGTGTGTGTGTTTGTACTGGGGGTTTGAATTTAAGTGCTTGTACTTCCTAGGCAGGCACTCTACCACTTGAACCACACCTACAGCCTTTTATGCTTTAGTTATTTTTTGGATGGTCTTGCATTTTTGTCCTGGGCTGGTCTGGACCATGATTCTCATGCATAGCCAAGATTACAGATGTTCACTACTATGACCAGTTCTCTTTTTTTTTGAGACAGGGTATTACTATGTTGCCAGGTGGTGTTGAGCTCATAATCCTCCTGCCTTGTCATCCCAAGTAGCTTTGATCATAGGAACACACCACCATACTCAGCTTCTGATCTGATTCTTAAAATAAAGCAAACTACTGCTTGAGAACTAACAGTAGCTAGTTTAAATAGACAAAATACCGTATCTGCTATATCTAACACACACACACACATTAAACCTGCACTATTGCTACAATTCTTCTTAAGAGGTAAACATCATAAATTGTTTGAAGATGACTCAAAAGTTCATCAGTTAAATTCAGTCATTCCTAAGTTTTAAGTTTCTCACTCAACTGGACATTTGCAGTCACTCTAATGTGGAGCTTTATATTATATTCATTGTATTCTCAAGGCTCGTATCAAGAGCTAACTCTAAGGCTACTATATGCTCTATATCATGGAGTTCTACACTTTCTGCATGGAACCCTAACAATGAGTAGCTACCTTTTTATTCGATTACCTCCTTATCTTTAAGCAGTAACCATATAAACTAGCACACTCATTTATGAGAGACTCAAGTCAAACTAGATTTTAAAAAGGATGGAACATATCAGGTAAGGAAATGGAACATTCAAGGGCAAATGGACACGGGCTGGACCCAGTGTCTCGGATAACCCTCCAGGGATCTACTTTTCTTTCCTGCATTTTATTCTATGACACACTTTTCTTGTGGAAATGATAGTTTCTGAAAGGCCCAGGGGTCCATTTTCACATGTGTCAAGAAGAAGGAATGTACCTTCTTTTACATCAAACTTCAAGCTCTTTACCTACCTTGAACTCATCAGCCTCGTTGGGGGGCAGGGGATTTCCCCTTCAGCCAATTCTAAATGTGTGCTACAACTGTGTTTGGGTAGGTTAGGTTCTAGAATTGACAAACCATCTCAATTCTTGGAGATTAAGAGGCATGCTTTCCCAAAGTAATGACTTAGGGTGTTACAAAGGAAGAGAAGAGGCATTCCAACCTCTCCTGATTTAGGGGGACATTGAAATGATTATAGGAGCAGGGTGAAGAATAAGATCACCAAGACGAGTCTTATCTAGAAACTTTACAGCAGGGAATACTTTTTGCCTAGTAAGTACATCAAGGCCATTTTGTCTTTAGATTCACAGCTTTAGAAGGAACAATTGGCTTTTTATAAAGGGAAGTATAAAAGATTATGGGGACATTCATCATTACCCAAAGAATCACTTTTTATAGCAGTGGTTTGCCTTAGCTGAAGGCAGAACCAAGAGGATTTCCCTGTGTACTGAGAGGAGAAAAAAGTGGGATCACTGATGTTTGGAAAGGAATAAATTTGAGCATGAGATCTCCTTTGGTCCTGACTCTCCTTGAGGTTTGCAAAGTATTCAAGACCTGAGAGATGTAACACTTGAGGTCTTTGTGAACTAAGGGTGTTAAGGCCAGACTTGAGTCATGAAAGCTGCAGGGCAAGATGAAAATAAGTTTCAGAAGAAAAGGTAATATCATCATTAAATAGTACCTTCTACCTTTCTGTGCCTCTATCTCCTAATCAATAAAAATAATATACACCAAGTGTAGTTGTCATGTGCAGTGTCTGGTACACTTGAAAAATGCAAGCTCTTGGTAATATGCATAATTAATATGTAGTATTCAACCACAATATAAATGTATTCACTTATTAATATGATATAAATACTCTGAATAAGTTAGTATGCATTTGGCTGCAAGTGACAGAAAACTGAAATGAAACCATCCTAAGCAATGAGCGGATTTCTTTGTTTCAATTTTGGGAAGCTACTACTGGGTCTACAATAAGCCTGGGTGCCTTATTTACCCAACAATCATGCCAGCGGACAGACTGTGTGAAAGGGACACAGGCTTAGCATGAGGGCTTGGTTACAAACTACCCTTAATAGGCTCTGGGCTGTTTATCTGTACAATATCAGGGTTTCTTAACAACATGAGAAAAGGAAATGGATGAATGGAATTTAATTAAGTGACACAAGGTGTGTACCCCAAATGAATATTGTAGGAAACTATAACACGAAATGGAACAGTCTCTCTTTCTCTCCAAGAAAAATTAACCCGATTCAATATGAGTGTAAATACAAGATGATATTTTTAAAAATTATAGCCAAGTAGTGCATGAAGAATGGAAGAGTAGACCGAATGTATTAGCAGAATAAGCATCGGTCAGGAAGGACAGCCTCGTATAGTACCAATCAGATATAAACATATGCACAGGGAACAGGAAGTAGAAACATATTTCCTGCAAAAGATTATGGACATTAAAGAATATAAATGAAACTACAATGATTAAGAAATAACAATCTTAAGAATGAGTTAGGGCTGAGCCTTTAACTTTAATTAGATATTTTTATGGTCCCCCGAATGAGGACGGATGGAAAGATAAACAGAATCAAACCTGTGAGCACATTTTATAATGCTTGTTGTTTGTGCCTAAAACCAGATCCTCCTTCATTTAAAATTGTCCCCAGAACAATGATTGGCTCACTTCTACATGGGCCAGCCTTATACAGAGATTTAGGGATTTGCAGCTCATATTCTCAAAAAATAAAGAAAGAAAAGCAGTCCATGGCAATGGAGAAATTTAATGACCGCAGTTAGCCCTTGACTCCAGAAGGACCAATCAAAGCCTTCATGAATGTTGATCAAGTGCCTTACTGTTAGACTATTTTGGACATACAAATTTTTAGGAACGCAATTATTTTGGATACACTAATTATCCTTTAAATCCCAGAAACTGTGTACAGTGACTAAGAGGACAGTAATTTATCTGCCAATGTTCCTGCCTGCCCACTTTAGGTTTCGGTCACTGTTAGATAAAGGTAGTGCCAAATGACAAAACCAACTCTGACTCATTCAACACATGAGTGCTTCTTATGCACAAAACAACACTGAAAACATTGTCCTGGGTAAAAAGATAAATGATTCTCCAGCCCTTGGCCTCAAGGATCTTACAACTTGGCAAGCGAAATAAGATATGCACACAAATGACTGCAATACAAGGAAGACAGTGATGACTGCCAGATGTTTGGGGAGAACAAGCAGAGTGAACAGAGAACACAGGATAAGGCAGCATTCAACAGTCAGTCAAGAGACATTTATGGAGCAATGTGACATAAAATGGAATTGCAGAGCATGGACAAAGACCTGTGCAGGTGAAAAATCCAGTGGCATGACTTGTTATTCACCTCTGACTTTTCTGTCAAAACTTTCTAATAAATAGCATAAAATTAAAGATAAAATAAAGTATATCTCTGTTAAAGATGACCTGAGGCATTGGTGCTTAAATGTAAGATCCCAGTACTTATGTCCCCAAATATGCTTTCTATGCCTTTATTTGCTCCTTCATCCCCGTCCAAACTAGCAGATGCCACCTTCCCAGAATATCTATGTCAGCCATTCCTCCCTTTTGAAGGAGTGTATTAAAATCACAGATTTAGAAGAGGATAATTTTGGATTCAAACAATTGAAATAAAATACTATGTAAATGAAGAGTCCAGAGGCAGTCCTTCAAGTATGCCTGGATTCAGGAGCTCAAATATTTTAATGAAGCCCTGGCCCTCCCCATTCTTCTCTGTCTTACTTTGGGATTCACACATCTCTCACTTCATGCGGAAGCCTCTGGCATAGTAATTGAACAGGGTTATATCCTCAGAGCCACAGGAGTGGCAGGAAGAAGCAAGGCTCACCATGGCTTTAAGATTATACAAGGTGTACATTTTTATGTAGTAAGGCATCAAATTTTAGGGTGATTGATATTGACACTGAATATAAGGAAAGATCTGTATATTAATTACAGCATGGTTTTGCAGACAATAACAATAAAACATCTTGTTCTTACAAAATCAGAAAAGCATCGCAATTTTCTCAAAGAGAAACATAAAGCATGTTGAGCAAGGGGTCCATTTTTTATCCGATTCACACAAAGATATATCTATGTGACATTGGGGGTCCTGTGCTTCCTCCCTGGCTGCCCCAGCAAGTCCAGGGATTAGCCCTGCAAGGGTCTATTGCTATCCTTGAACTCAGAGCTATAGCCAGAAGGATCAGAAGTGGTGATAGTCAGGCCTATCTAAGACAAAGAGGGGTCTGTTCTCAAACCAGAAGCATTGAAATTTGAAAAGGCATATCCAGAAAGAAATTGCTCGACTGTCCCCAGAAGGGAGGAGGGATAGATGTTGTGGGGGAAAAAAAATATCCTGTACACCAGGACATGTTAAGAACAATGACTGGAGATCTTTGTGCTGGTTGCCTGCACATAAAGCACCAGAGAATACTGGCCTAAAAAGAGCACTACGGCCAAAGGGACATGGCCTATTTTAACAGAGAATTTGAGAGTGAAAAGATAACTTGGAGAGCATCCAATTCAATCTCATCATTTTCCAGATGGGAAAACTAAAACCCAGACAGGAGATGGAAATGCCAAGGGCACACAAGTAGTTGGTGGCAGAGACAACACAATCTTATCATATATTATGTACAATAACAGTCTTGCTTCTGGATTTCTCTTCACCCTCAAATCTGCATAATGTAGCGTTGATGCACTCCAAGGGTTGCTTTACCCTCACTGAGAAACATTAAATGTCCCTATGTAGGGACCAAGGCCACTTGTTGCTTTAATGGGCAAAGTATGTGCAAGGCTAGCAAAAAGTGGCACCTTTGATAAAGAAATTCCTAACTGCAAGGCAACCTGCTTTAGCATCCTGACTTTGCTCCCGAAATCCCAAGCAGAGAAAGAGAAAGTTATCCCTAATCACTTGAGAGACTTCTGCGTCTCATCTTTTGGTTCCTCTTTCTTCCTCCTACCATCCTCACTTTCCTGCTGTTTCCTACCATAAAACTGTCACTGGCCCAGAAACATCTCTCTGAAAATAGGTAGGAGGGAGCCTTACACCTGTCAGTGCTAGAGAAGAAAATGCGCTCTGCAGAGTTCTCACTTGTTCAATCTCTGGCGACAAAAGGAAGAAAAGCAATGAATCCGAGGTTTCTGCCACAGATCTGCTGGAAACCATGGTCAGTTTAGTGGGTCTTGGCCCTAGTAAGCCCTGAGGACCAAAGATCCAAAGATCCCTAATATTTCATCTTGGCTTCGCTTTCCTACAGGCAAGTCTGCCTAGTGCCTGGCCCTAGAGAAGTCTCTGGGTAAAGGTTCTTTAAAGTCATGAAATCAGGTTACAGTATGTCATGCGTTTTTCTTAAGGGGAAAAAAAAACCCCACAAAAACCCTAGCATAGGCGGAACTGCAGTAAAGACTGGGGTCTTTCCGCGCATCTCCGACTCCTGACTGTCGCGTTCTCCCACAGCAGAGAGCCAAAGGCTCTGGACCTAGGGGTAGGGAGCAGTCAGCACCAAGCATCGCCGCCTCATCCCGGGGCTGACGCTAGTGGTACCCCCAACGTAGATGTGGGTGTAGGCAGGCAGGAGGCTTCCACAGTGAGTTTGGGGGCCAGAGCTCAGCCCTGGCTTGCAATCAGAAATCCCTAGATTCCCTGGGGACCACGAAACTTCCCCTTGCGAGGCAACCTCCCCCCCTCCCCAGCCGCCCACCCATTACCCCCCCTTACCTCAGTACGCAGCCCCTCCCTGCGTGATGATGCAAACCAGTGGGGAGGGCGGGCGCTGGCAAGGGTGGGGAGAGGAGAACGAGCGAGGGAGGGAGGGAGTGGGAGGAGGAGGAGAGGGAGCCCAACGACCATTTAAAGCGATAGCAATCCCTGCCCTCTCCCCAGTGCTGGGCTGTTGGAGAGCGCAAGCCGCAAGCCGCGGAGCGTGAGCGCGGTGCGCCGGCTGGGGAACCCAGAGCGCCAGGCGCCCCAGGCTGGCAGGCGCCGCGGGACCCCCCTCATCCTTTCCGACTGCCCCTCCCCGAGTACCCCCACCCCCAGTGCCTGCAGAAGTCCCCGGGCTTCCCCCAAAGGAGCTCACCTCGAGGGGCCCGGATCTCTGCGAGCCCTCCACCGTCCCCTCCAGCGCCGCCGTCGCCACCGCAGCAGCCCGAGCAGCATGGTCCAGCTGGGGAAGCTGCTCCGAATCCTGACTTTGATGAAGTTCCCCTGCTGCGTGCTGGAGGTGCTCCTGTGCGCGCTGGCGGCGGCGGCGCGCGGCCAGGAGATGTACGCCCCGCACTCCATCCGGATCGAGGGGGACGTCACCCTCGGGGGGCTGTTCCCCGTGCACGCCAAGGGTCCCAGCGGAGTGCCCTGCGGCGACATCAAGAGGGAGAACGGGATCCACAGGCTGGAAGCTATGCTCTACGCTCTGGACCAGATCAACAGCGATCCCAACCTGCTTCCCAACGTGACGCTAGGCGCGCGGATCTTGGACACTTGTTCCAGGGACACTTACGCGCTCGAACAGTCGCTCACTTTCGTCCAGGCGCTTATCCAGAAGGACACCTCCGACGTGCGCTGTACCAATGGCGAGCCCCCGGTGTTTGTCAAGCCAGAGAAAGTAGTTGGAGTGATTGGGGCTTCAGGGAGTTCGGTCTCCATCATGGTAGCCAACATCTTGAGGCTTTTCCAGGTAGGGGGGCGCTCCCTCCGGGGCGGAGTGTGCTGTGGCTCCCTGCGCTTACAACCTTAAAAGCTGGTTTGGATTACAGGGGTGCAGGGTCAGGTCAGTCTTCCCGCATTTCCACCATGGAGATCCTCCCTAATCCCTTCTTCCACCCCACCCAAGACAGTATCTTCCCTGCTTAGTTTACCCTGTCCAAAGCTCCACTCCATCAGAGCTGACAGCATGGATTTATGGCCCCATTTACAAGAAGCAATCTGCGAAAAACAAGGCGATGATTTAAATGGGTTTGCATTAGAGTGAAATATGGTCCGAAAACAGGCTCGTAAAAGTGCAGGGCTTCTAGGAGAGCAGGTTAGGCGCATGGAATATGAAAAATGAGAACATGCTTTGAAACTGGGCATTTCCCAGCTCCCCAGCTTCCCACCCCCATGCCACCTGGGAAACCTGGACTCCTTTGGAAAATGTCAAGAAGACCACTTCTTCAACTGAGGGCTGACTGGGTTTTAACCTAAATGTGGAGGTTGATTACTCATCTCCTTTGGTTGGATTTCCGACCTGTAGCTAGACTCCATGAGAGCCGGGGGCGGGAGGCATGGGGACCCTCTCCAAGTGGGGACATGCCGCCTGCTGACGTGACCCTCCGCCCCCAGTTGATTTTCTCCGGCCAATTTCGTGCACCGTCTAAATTGCATTTGCAGTCCGGCCACTGGCAGGAGCTGGGCGATCAGCTTTCTACTGCCACTTCAGACCTCAGCCCAGAGATGAGCTCATGCTAACTGCGAAACAAAATCGCTTTCAGTACCTCCTCCCTCCACCCCCTCCCGTCTTAACGCAGCCCCCGACCCCAATCCCTGGCTCCCAGCTCTGAGGACAATTCTGGAGCTAAGCGAGAAGGCACCTGGGGCAGTGGGGTGCGCTGAGCAGGGTCCGCGTTCTCTTGCTCAGGATTCCAGAGGGCGATGGCAAAAAAAAAATGGGAGGAAGGCGGATCCGGGACTCATAAGCGGTGGGTTCTACCGCAGTGCTGTCTTGCATCGGGTTCCTGCAGCCTCTGCCCCATGGCTCCCGTGCTGCATTGGGTAGAAATGGATGCCTTTGGGGTTTAGAAATTGAGTTTTAGAGTCTCCATGCCTCCAGGGGTCCCTTCTCAGGGGTTTCTCCCTTGTGTGTGCTTCTGTCTCTGCCTCCTTGCTCTCTATTTTTTTTTTCTTTCTCCCTGCTCCCGCCCTCCCTGCTTCAGCCTTTATTTCTTTTCTCCCTGTCCTTTCTTGCTCCCAAGTTCTTGGTTCACCCCTTCTGACTTTAGGTGACCCTTTCCTAAGGTAGGACTCTCTCCATACCTGATGGTAGCCAAACCCAGGTGATCCCTTCCCCAGATGTGTGGAATGATCCTGCTCACATCTGAAGAATTGGCTCCCTCTCAAGTGCTTCCCCTAAGGGTCTGGGTTTCAGGAGTAGACTCCTTGGGAGGTTCTGGCTGTCACCTCATGGGCTCCAGGAGTGCAAAGTTTGTGTTCTAGGAGGAAGGCTGCAGCCTGGTGTGGCCTTCTGATCCTTTGAGCATCCCTGATTCTCAGTGTGCCTGCTTGGAGCTATCTAGATGTTTGCAATCTCCCAAAGTGCTTTGGGGGACAGACTTCACATGGGTGCTTGCTTTAAGGAAGAACCTGGGGTTTTGTAATCAAAACCCAGAAGTGCTTCCTTCATCTCTGAGTTTAAAGCTTGACAACTTGAGGGGGCAGCTCTGCAGAGATGAGGTCAGAGACAGCACCTGAGAACCACTGTGTGTGTGTGGGGTGGGCAGTCCAGTATTCCTCTGAGCCCCAGGGTGGAAGGCATTTAATAATTAGTCCATTGCCTGGTTCTGTGTTCAGAGCATGGGCATTATTACAGATGGGCCTGTCTGCATGGAAAAAAAAAGAGAAAAAACTGTGAAATGGTGAAGTCAAGAAAACCATTAAAGATTAGGCTAAGGACTGTGTTTGCTGAAAAAGATTCCAGGGGGAACTGAGTCCTCCTGTAGTGTTTGAACCTGAGTCAACTTACAAGGAAACAAATGACTGGTCACACACTCAGTTCCCTCATTCCCAGAGCAAGGGAGGAAAGGAACCAAAAGCCAGCATGAGCAGTGTGGGTTGGGACTAAAACCATTCAGAGAAAACACTGTCATTTTCCTCTAATTTGCAAATTGCAGCTATTCATGTTGGATTGAGTAGCTGAAGGAAAAAATAACCCCCAGTTTTCACCTGCATTTATGGAGAAGAGGCTGGGAGTAGGAGAAATGCACCAACTTGTAGCTCGGGCTGTAAGCTGGTTATAATCACTGGTGTGCCATCCCAGCTCACTGTTGCCCATGTTGAAGAGTGTATGTATGTGTGTGCGTGTGTGTGTGTGTGTGTGTTCCAGTGGCTTTTTTTGCATGTGATTTTAGAATCTCTTGGCATGTAAGTCCAATCCCTAGCTTTCTAGCTTCTGTCAGCCTGCAAAATGTGTAAGTGAGAATAATGGTACACACCATTGTTCACAGGCACCATCAATTAGTCGGAAAGAGAAAGAAGAGTAGGTGAATCTTCCTCTGAGACTACAGGGTTCAGTGCAATTAAAATTGTCCTATATACAATAAACTCCTCCAAATAAGTGGATTACAAGCTTTATTGTGAGTTTCTTTCTCGGGACCTTGAAGGTGGATGTGGGATCTATGTCAAACTGATCACTTGAGATATAAATTGATGGTGGGATGAGCCTGTATCCTGGGGGAGGAAATACTTAGGGACTGAAATGTTGGGTGTGCTGAGTGCTAGGGGGCAGGACGAAGTGTAATAGATATAACCAATGCTGTTGCTAGCAGCAAATGAAGTTCTTTCCTAAAAACAAGAACCTGGGCAAGGAGAGCTCTCACTCAGATGTAGATAGTGCCCTTTACTTGGAGTGTTCTTTTGCCCGTTGGTGTGCCAGGCCAGAGATGTGAGTAAGCAAGTCCTCTCTCTCTTCTCTGTGTCCATGCTGAATAGGTTAGTAAATGACATGTCTGAAAACAGAAACCATATCCAGTGGGTCTTTCAAATCCAGGAATTTGAGGCTAATGAAATTAGTGTGTGGCCAGGGCTCTGCCAACTGGAATTAAATCACTGTAACTGCCCAGCAATGCATTTTCAGACTCAAAGAAGCATCAGGAAGGAATTTCTGGAGATTTGCTTCTGAGCCTGTGCAAAATAATACTGTCCTAATGCTAAGCAAGATTAAACTAGATTAATATTGACTATGAGCAACATATTTTAAAACAATAATCACAGAGTGGGGATGGCTTAATGTGGAGAGGTTATATAATAGGGTGACCAAAGGGTAGCTCTCCCCTGAGCACTGTTTGATGGCTGTAAGTAAGACATGTTAGAGTGGAAAGTAATGGGAACGTTTTTATTCAAGGCTTCTCTGTTACTGACTTGCAAGAAAACACTCAGAATATAAATTACTTTTGCTACATCCTGATTTTGAATGGACAGTATTTCACATGTAGTGACATCGTCCTGGTCATAGACTTGAAATTGAATGGCATCTGTTGGATTTCTGCCCTCCCCCCCTCCCCAAAAGTAACTAGGTTGAGAAAACTGTACCCTGATTGGAGCATAATGCAAACCTAGGTCTGTGGACCTTGCAACATGAAAGAAATACATTTGTAAGTCTGTCAGCATCTTCATCTCATTCACTGAAACTTGAATATACTCTCAAACTTTTGGCATAATATTTTATACATAAGTGCTTATATTTTTCCTTCCTTTCTCTGTTTCTCTCTCTCTCTCTGTTCCTCTCTTATGTAATGGAATGGAACTTGGTTCATAGGCTAATGTGGTATTACTACAGTAGGAATTTTTTTTTAAAGCAACTCTAACCTATTCTTTTTTAAAATTGCATAAATATAGGTATCGCTGCCATTTGGAATAATCTCTATAACAATCTCTTCCTCCACATTTACTGTGTTTTAGGAAATTTACCCAACAGATGGTGAGTGGGCACTTTTTATAAGAGCAGAGAGGGAAGGAATGAAGACATGCACATACTATATTTGAAGATGTTCCATGTGTATTTTATGTATACAGACTCACATAATTAAGATGTCTTTGGACATTTTTCTCTTCAAGAACAATTGAAATAATGACTCCATTATTTGTAGTTTAACAAATTACAAATGTTCTGTTTTCTGCACGCATACAGATTATATCTTGGATCTAAAAGACCATGGGTGGGCTACACACAGTGTGCTCTAGTCTTAATCATACTGTTAACTAGTTAAGTTACTGTAAATATATCATTTAATTTTTCTAGGCCTCAGTTTCTTCATATGATTTTTTGCTTTAAAAATATAGTTTCTAAAAGTGTCTGATCTTTTTGTTCAGCTTGGAGAAGACCTGCACTTTTCAAACTCCCGACACTGTAATTCCAGTCCTCGCTTTGAACTTTCAGTGAGTTTGGGTGAACTTTAAAGGATATTTTCACACAGCTACCTTGGTCATTACTAGTCTACTGGATTTCCCATATTCACACTTTTACCTTGTTTTTAAAATGAGTTTGCTCTCCAATGGGATGTATCAAGGTTAGTAGTAGGGAAAATGACTGCTCAGATTCAGCTTACTACATAGTCATAAGACACAGGGAAAGGTGGAAAAATTGTGGGGTTTATAGTAGCAGTTATCACTTTTGTCTACCCAGCGTCCTCGCCTGTCTCATCTTACAATATTAAGCTTCTCTTTTGCAAAGCTGCAGAATAATGGCAGCCTGCCTATGTTCCTGTCCCCAGGGATGAGTCACTTGGCCCAGGTCAAGCAGAGCAGGTGATTGGTACAGTTGTAGGCATCTGGTCTTGTCTAGACCAATCAGAATCTTCTGCAGCATGTCTTTGTCAGAAAATAATGAGAAAATTGTCTCTTCTCTCTGGAATTTCTAGGCTGGGGAGATGTGATACTAAGGTGCCAGTTGACCATCCAACACATGGAGAGTAAGCAGGGCTGAGTAGTAGAGAAAGAGCTAGAGCCCTGGTAATCTCCAACCCCCAAATCTGACTATATCTTTAT